CTCAGCCATGCTGATAAATGTTGTTTTTCACTACAATAAGAAAGTCGGGAACCTTTGGATGGATAGGGGTTGGTCTATTTCACATGCCATAAAATACATTTAAAAAAAAAGGGAGGGGGCAGAATTCCTTCTATTCTTTATCACTTATTCTTGTCCATCCATCACAGGATAGTGGATTTCTCAGGCTTGTATATTCACAGCTGCAGATCTGCATCCTGAATACCAGTCAGAGAAGGGAAATGTGTAGTGATGAGGTGATGCTGCCCCCCAGAAGCTCTTGATCTAAGGCAAGAGAAGATTGCTTTCTGTTGTGAATAGATCTCTCCTTCCTAAGACTAGCCTAAGTTGCTTGCTTAGCAGAGTAGCTTAGTTTATAACCATTCGTTATCTGTAATATGCTGAAAGACAGAAAGAAGAGTAAAAGCAAAATACTAAGTTGCCTTTATTAAAGCACTGATTTTGTTGCACTCCTGCTTGCCAGGAATGAGAGAGTTCATTTACTCTGCCACTGCCAATACACCATGCATCTTTCTAATCACAGTTATGGGTTTTCTCTCTTCCACATCAGGAGATAAGTGGTTCCCGGCTCTGAGAGCCAAGTGTGAACTATGGAAGTGTGAAGATATGACCCACTGCATTCCCTCTTCTCCTCCAGCCCTCGGCTCACACCCAGCCTACAGACATTGGCCAGAGCTAACCCAGAAGGTATTGATATGGGGTACACTTTTTCTTCCATGACCCAGTGGCCCACAGTGAAAGCCTGTATCCATTGGTTCCATGTGTGGTGACAAAGTTCTAGGACACCACCAAGTTGTAGACTTGGTTGTGGCATACACAAGGAGAAAATAATTTGGTGTGGATTGGCTCACAAAGGCACAACTGCCATTGAGAAAAACATCAGATATTAAGGGGGAATGGTTTTAATCTAACAGAGGGTAGGTCTAGATTGGGTATCAGGAAGCAATTCTTCACTCAGAGGGTGGTGAGACACTTGTACAGTCTGTCCAGAGAAACTGTGGATGCCCCATCCCTGGAGGTGTTCAAGGCCAGGCTGGATGGGGCTTTGGGCAGCCTGGTCTGGTGGGAGGTGTCCCTGCCCATGGCGGGGGGGGGGGGGGTTAGAATTAAGTGATCTTTAAGGTCCCCTCCAAACCATTCAATGCCTCTAAGTGCTTAGAGCCACTTTTAGCTCTGCTGTGGGTCAAAAGAGCTGTGCTTCATTTAATTGTAGTGAAACACTCAATTTCTTCCACAGCTCGTCTGTGGTTGTTCACTACGTGTTCTGATTTTGCATGGCATGAAACCTGCTTAAAGCACTGTCCAAGGGGAAGTATTCCATCACTTGTGGAAACTGTTTTCTCAGACAAGACCACTTACTAAATCCAGCCTGTGAATAGTTTCCATCTCTCTGAAATGCCTTTTCTCTGCTGGTTTACTACTGATCTAAGGTGCTTTGTTCAAATCCCCCAAACTGTTCTACAAGGACATTAAACCTAAGATTTCTGCTTGACCTCACATTTTAAAAGAAAAGTACGTGTGCCAAACAGCAGCAAGACAGGAAGGAAATTCTTCTTTGGGCCTGTCCACAACAAAAGTTTACCTATTACTAGCAGAGACAAGCCTCAAGCAGAAGAAAATCCACGAAGAACCCAACAGAAATGTGGGTCAATACAGGTGAATTTAAAGGCAGAGCCCACAGCCCTCCCCCACCTCCAGAACTGCAAACACAAATGGAGAAATATGGAGAAATATGCACCTTGGATTTTGCCCAGCCTTGATACAGATGCTAGCAAAGAGGAGGTTTGGTCAGGTAGAACATGTACTGTTGCCTGCTCGCCTGTTAGGGCACCACATGCTGCATTACTCAAGTTTTTCTCACATCACTATTTATTATTTTTTTCCAGAAAAAGTAGAGAATTTGATAAAAAGCAGCTTCATGGTAAGCAATGCTCATGGGACATCACCACACAGTGCCAGCAGGCCTGGCACAACCCTCCTGGTGTGTCTGTTTTCCTCATTTCCAAGAAACACCCCCTAATTCCATATCCTCAGCTAAAACTGCCCATGAGACGAGACACTCCAGATTTGGATTTGTTTTCCTCACAGGGGAAATAAAACCAGCCAGAAGGGCAATGAACAAGCAGTGCTTATTGTAAAATCTCTTTCCACGGTGTTTGCCATTTCTGTGGTTTCACCTGCTGGCCACATGAAAGAAGACAATCCTCTCTGTGCAGCCAGAAGAATTACCCAGCAGACTACAAAAAAACTCTTTCAGTAACATGCTTTTATCACTCCAGCAACAGCAGTTTATCTACAGCATAAATACTTGATACAAAGGCCAGGAAATGTCAGGGACACCACAAGGTAATCATCTGAAGAACCAAGAGCTGTTGCTGCTGCTGAATCCGGTGGCAAAACAAACAAACAAAAATCCTTTTCAAAAGAGGTATCTGCTGCAAATTAGATGTGAGAGATAAGGTTAAGGAGAAAAGAAGCAGAAAGAAATGAACACAGCCAATTATCAAACCCTTCAAATAAATTAAAAAAAAAAAAAAAGAGGAAAAAAACTTCAGAGAACAACATCCAAAAAGGCTATTAAATTTTTTAAAACTTTGAAAACCAAACTAAAACTTACAGAAATCAATGCGTCATACTGAAAAATTTCATTTTGGTGCAGTTCATTTCCCATCTTTTAAAGGAAAGAGGCTGTCTGAGAAAATAAGCGATTCTGAGAGCAGAGGAATAAAGGGAAAGTTTGCAGAGATTCTGTGATATCCAATAAGTGCCAAAGTTTTCTCCAGTCTGTCCTCGGAATTAATATTGGTAGGATTTCACCCTTCCTTTTAGCTATCTACTTTTATTATGTTTGTAGGCCTTGTCGTCTCTTCATCTGCTTCTCCAGTGCCAAACGTCACTGAGATGGGTCGAGTTTCAAAGTTCTGGCCCTTCCTTACATGAAAAAATAAAATAAAAAATGTAATCTTTCCCGCCAAAGCTAGCCACCCTTCAAAAAGATCATTAAAATGTATAATGCTATTGTAATTAATGCCCCCTTCCTTCCAACCTCTTCCTGTCATTCTTTCAACCTGTACACTGGAAGAGCAAGTCCTTGACTGTAGAAGTAACTAATAGCCACTCCACAAAGAAATCCTGTTGCATGGTCATTTATACACCTTCCTTTTCTGAAACAGATTGCAGGTATGTGCGTCTGAGCTTAGTATATTAATAGTGCCGGATTAGACACTGTGCAGTAGAAGGTGTGCTGCTGCCAAAAATGACTAACAGAAAAGCCAAGGCATCAATTAAACTGTCGGGTGCTATTAGGAGGATCTTCCTGATTTAAAACAATCCTGTCAGAATGCGTCCGCTATCATAACAAGAGCAAAACAAAAGAAGAAACACAGCTAAACATCAGGCTCCCAATACAATTTGCTGCCCCAAGTGCCTTTGGAGCACTTGAAATATTGTTCACTGGATTCCAAGGGGAAAGCTGAGGTCCAAATACGCAAATGTAGAGCTCATCTACGGGAGGATAAATGACCTATTTTGCTAATTTCTGTCGAGTATGAAACCTGATCTGATGTTGCATTGTTATTGGCAAATGACCTTTAAAAATAAAACAGAAGTGACTTTTCCAAGTCATTTGTAGTCTCTATGAAGTGGAAGGGTTTGAGATGAATGACTGGTAACAGGAGATTGATTCGGGCACTAAGTAAACATAAGTGGATGGAAAAAAACAGCAAAATGAAAAGAAAAATGGATTATCAGGGAGCCTGACAGGAACAAGACAATGCCAAGAAAACAAATGAAATGTAATAATGAAATCAAGTTTTGCCTGTGATGCTTCAGTCTATGCCGAAACAAGGTTTATTGCACTTGGCAGTGAACTGCAGAAGAGGGGAAGTACAGCAGTTTGAGTAGAGCTTTTTCTGTTTTCTCTGGTCTCATATGAATTTGTCTTCAGCAGAGCATGACAAGGGAGATGTATTTCCTAGAAGCACCAGTATTTATTTTCAGCTAGAAGATGCACATGGAGAATCGCAAGCTTGTTTCTGATCAAAGTTCATTCAAAGTGCCTCCCGTTCCCTTACAGGCACAGCAACCAGCCTTGCAGGAGAGACTTCACTGTCTCGGCCAAGAAGGACAACAGCTTTAGTTGGCTCATGCACCCTGGTAGCTCCAAGGAACACCACAAGAGGCCCTGACCACCTCTCCTCCCACCAAAGCAAACATGATATTAATGCCAGCATGAGGAAGAACTTGCCATTTCAAAGCTGATCAGGTCTGAGCCATGGCAGAAGCAAAACCATCCCACGGAAGCCAACCTGTCACCAGTCAGCTTTGAGATCTTGTCTGTGTTTGCCAGGAGACACAACAGAGTCAGACAACTTGACCATAACGATCTGCAAAAAGCACCCTAGTGTGAAAGTACCCAGGGAAAGGCTGACCTTAGGAGGAATTATGCAGCAGGATTTCCAAGCTGAGAGTTGCAGCAGACACAACTGAGAACAGCCCCAGTTTGCTGGGTGGAGCATGTTTCAAACACTGCACGGAAAGTCGGTGACCTTGTTATTGTGAGGAAACAGGGGTCTGATCCCAAACCCCCCAAAGTCAACAGAACAACCTGAGATGTTACAGGGTCAGCAAAACGAAGGCAACTACAAGGCTTAGCTGTATCTTTCTTGCGCTCTGCCACTTCAAAACATGCAGAGGCTGTGACAAGACACCTACTCACAGAAGTTTGTAATCCTCATATTTATTATATATTAGATTGCTTATATAATTATATATAATACAAACGATTGCCTAATCCTCTGAGGATATGTCAACCCTCTCTAAAGCAGGGTGAGCAAGCACCCTGTCTTTCACTTTTTTTTTTTTTTTTTCCAAAGAGCAATCTATTGCCTTGGCAAATCAAGTGCAAAAATCTGCATGTCTTTTTTTTTTTTTTGTAAGAAATATTTTCATATTTTCTCTTCTCAAAAATCAGTCTCGAAGTTCTTTCAGTGAGCACCGAGACATCTGTCTTGCGTAGGTTCAGCTGCCACCTTTGCAAATTACTTGTCATGTGTATCTGTTCTATAAGACGAATCATTAGAGGTTTTTGGTTAATGCTATATTTATCAGCACAGAAGGGAATCTCCCGGCTCTGTGAAAACTTCGTCATAAAGCAAATCTGAGCAACAGCACTGAAACATATCTTTCTTTCCCTTCTTGAGGCATGGACGCCTTAAAATGAGAGCTTCCCAGCTTTGTTACAGATGTCAGCACAGCAATTCAGGTTTGCAGGAGACTTTCTCTCCCTCTAAGCACCCTGGATTATGGGATAAAAAGCTCACACGCTTCTCGATTGTTACCAAAGCTGTGACACACACTGGTTAACAATTCCAGATGCTTACAGTAAAAGACGATTTTGCTTTGTCATTTGAAATAATTCAATAGAAAAATGAGTTGTTTTCCAGTAATGCCAGAAAGATGCACATACTGCATTTTCCTCATTAAACAGCATGCAAACCTGCTCATCTCTCCTCTTTGTTCATGCCCTCTCACTGCTGTCCACATGCACACGAAGGGCTCTTGTACCACCGTTTTACTTTTGTTGAAATAATAAGGTTTTGACCTAATATGTTCCAATTAGACACTAACAGCACTTCAGAGACTGACGTACTTCATCATTTAAGATGTATTATAGCTGCGTTCTTGCCTTTCATCCCAAAGGCACTCCACACGACAACCACTGATATTTATGCACTCAGTTTACAAAATAAAACTCGAAAGTACATATTTCAAATAGAATCCAACTCAGAGGGAGGAGGCTGTTTTGTGTGGTTTATTAATAAAACAGGACAAATGGTTTTGTGTATGCTAGACTCCACAAGAGAGGTCTGAGAAGCCAAACACATTTCATGACCTTCAAGAAAGCTTGAAATTAAAGCAAAGAATAGAAGACACGAGAGTTTCAGGAAAGGGAAGAGGTTTGCATATTATTCAGAAAAACAGAACTTAAACAGATTTTATTTTTTTTTTCTGTCTTGGCACAAACCTTCCCGTTTTTCAGATGGGCTTATGAAGACAGGGAGAGGAACTCTGATGACTTCGAAACCACTTTGTTTATTCTGAACAGTGAGATGATCAGTGCAGCTCTGGCTGTTAGACCAGGCTCCCTGCAGGGGAAGTCAAAGCATGGTGAGTGTTCTGAAGCCTACACTACTGGAAGGTAGAAATGAAGCTGCTCAGTGGTTTTCTTTGCTCATTTCTTCTTTGCTACGTCACGTGCCATGCCTTAACTCAGGATTCAATCTTCTGTGCCACTCCATTTCATCAACACATCCTTCTGGCATGGCATTCTCTGCAAATCTTGGACTTGTCCAATAGTGAATTCCAGTTTGTAGCAACCAGGCAATTTGCAGAATTAAATGAAAATCAAACTCAAGGAAGACTTTGGATTTTGCATGTGAAACTTGTGAGGCATCTGAACATTCACTGGGTGGCATTCATATCAGAGTGGAATTTGGAATTGACTGACTGCAGAGCATCATTATCTCTGATTCAGCTTTTATTACCATTTGTTACTGTATTCTGAGCAGAACTTGCACTGAAAATTATTCCAAGAATGGCTGCAAACCCTGACATTTTGCTACAGAATGTCACTGCCATTTCAGGAGCCTGTGCCTGCCAGAAGTCAAAGACAGCTTTTCCATTGGGATTATTATCAGAGAGAGGAATATCCTCTAGTGCCACAAAGCATAGATGGGATAAATACTAGCCAAATACAGGTAGGTCAAGAGTAACGGGCAGCCTGGGATGATGTCCAGAGAGAACTAAGGTAGTGAGATGAGACTGACAGTCATGCTCATGGGATATCATAATTCTGCTTTGGGAACGATGATGCACACAATGTATTTGGTTAAAATCAGGAAAGAAGCCCATACTTCCTGGAAGGGGCTTGATTCAAGAAGATATGCATGTAAGCTTTGAAAAGTTTGATTTGGGGTTATGCCTTATATTGATGGTACAGGACACATGGAGGATGATGTAAAAGAGGACAGGAGTCAGAACAGAGCTTGTCTAAGCTAGCCAGAAGCCACCAGAGTTTGGGTCCAGAGGCTAAAAGGTGCATAAACTTGGTGCTGTATGTGAGTAAACGTGCCCCATGGACAGGCAGTGACACACGAGTGGATCAAATTATGAATGCCTTACATGGAAGAAGAGCCTTTAGACAAAGTAATCATACCAATTACAACTCACTATGTCCAGTGGAAGGATGGGATGGGATTTGCCATCCAACCCCTTAAAAGGAGCAAACATTTTTTATAGCTAGTTTTAAGTAACACTGCAAATACAACACACTAAACGACAACAGCCTAAAGCTCAACATCTAGACCTTGATTAGCTAACAAAAATAACATTCTTTAAACCTCCAAAGAACATGTTCTTTGCTGTCCTGATAAAGTGAGATAACTTTTGTAACAGACACTGTATAGATTTGCAGGTCACTCACAAATGAAACCAACTGCAGCTCTGCTGTTGTATTTTAGAGAAGTTCAGAGCAAGGGGTCTTAACAAGCTAAAGCAGTTACACAATTCTGGCAGAGCATACATTTAAGATATTTTCTGCAGCAGAAGCAGTAACTGAAAACATTAAGTTAGATTCTGATTCCTCAACAAAGAATTACAGAATTTAAGCTGTAATACATCTGATCTTCTGTAAAGGAATAAAAAGGGGGTGGGGAGGTGGGAAGAGATAAAGACAAGAAATAACTCCTGATTGCTCGTATAATATATGCAGCTTTTCCTTTTTGGCCTGATTCACTACAGCCATAATGTTTAAGAGATCAGATTATTCATGTACTTTTCAATCCTCCTCTAATAAATTTTAACTCGCCAATCAATCTCACTGAAGAGTTGATGTTTCCAGGATGTTAGATTGGTACAAGTTTTGTGAAAATTGGCATCTGGAGAGAGGAGAGCAGTCCAGAAAGTGTTCTTGCTGCCTGTTATAAGCCGTGCTTGGCAGCAGCTGGCGACCCATCAGCACAAGTGTGCTGGCTGGCTGACGAGCATGGATGCAACTCATCATTACCTAAAGGCATCATAGATGACAGAGGGGAAGCTGCCTATAAAGGAAACAGGACATGAGCCAGGCTTTTTTAGGAAATGAGGTTTAATTAGCTCTGCTGTTTATTAAACACCTTGTTTTAGAGGACATGGAAGTACTTGTGGTGTGTCCTGTCATGGTCCTTCTAACGCCAGGCAGCACAATTTGGAAAAAGAGGAGCATACAACGTGATAAGAGTCATGGAGGGCAAATGCAATTAACCAGGCCCAGCAACCAGTTCCTGCAGGATGGGAAATGACTCCTTTGATGAGGAAATAAGGAAAGAGCTAGAGGCTATTTGTTTTCCATTTGTTATGAGAATGAAGGTATATCAGGTAAATATCAGGACTGTACAGAAGCCAGATTTTATTTGGTTGTTGCAGTGTGGTTTGTTTTGTTTATTTATTTATTTTTAATCCCTTAAGTGATCTGTTAACAGTGTGACTTCTTAGTTGCTTGCTTATCACAGTGGTGACCAACCATTTTCACAAACAGGCACCCTGATGCTGGCCTGGAATGAAACAGGTTGGAGGACAGCCTCACAGCAGCATAACTGCTCTTTCAGGGCAGAGCTTTCACACCTCACCTGTACCCCCAGAGTCTTAGTATCAAAACACAAAGCGTAAAATAAGTAACCAACCTGTAAAAGTGCCAGCCACAGGTCAAAAGTGGGGACGGATCAAATTCACTGGAGGGATTCAGAAGCATGTGGAGTAACTAGCAGTGATGTTTTCTCCACGTGAGCAGATCCTACAGAGAAAAAAAAAAAAAAAACAAAAAAAAAAAACACAACGTTGTTGACTCAGTGAAACATTAGCTTTTAACAAAGGTTCTGATGTGGGTGGTCAGAAATCCTGTGTATTTATTTACATTATACTCCACCATTTAACTTAAAATTTATTTACGTGCCTTATGTCCATGCTCTCTTTAAAGCATCCCAAGTCAGACTCCACCCCTGTGATCACGTGCAATAGAAAAGGGATAAAGTTGTCTCAGCTAGTGAACCAAACATGCCCTGATCCAGCAACCAAATTCAGATAAAATATCTACATCCATACCATGGAATACAATCTTCCAAAACATGCTGGCCACATCCAAATTCACTTTTGGGATGGTAGGGAATTCTTTACCAGTACATACCACCATACCACCACAGCCAGCAGCACTCATCTCTCAACAGGACAGCAAAGAACAGCAACTCTTTTAGTGAAGAGCTCTTTCTAACGAGAAGTCAGGGGACCATGAGAGCAAGCAGGCACCTGTCATACCTGTGTTTGGATTTTCTCTGGGAAGTCTTCGTACCTCACTCGTGAAGATCCTAAATGTGCAGGTCCAGTGTGGGAGGGGTGGATTTTTCCTTGCACAATTTATCAGATTCTTCTCATAGATATAGCAGAAGGTCATTGGAAAAATCTGCCTTACTTCATTTGTAATTTATTTATTTTTTAATAAATGTATATGTGCCAGAACATTCATTTATTTTGCACAGGTTGAGTAAGACCAGTTTGATGTCTCTTAGGGAGAAAGGCTTATCTACCATCACTACATAGAGGCTTTTGATCTTTGCCCACACAGGTCCAGCAAGCAAATAATTGTTTAATAATCCACAGTGACCCAGAACCCTTGCTGAGGAATAAAGAACACGACTGCCCTAACTCCAAATATTACCCACGGACCAAGGACTGCAACTGAATTCCTTAGGGGCTGGGCCAAGCCTCCAGTTAGAAGCAGCATCCCACGCAGCCTTGGCTGTGTGGCATGCAAAGCAAGTCCTCCCTTGCCACAGGGCTGTAGAAATATCAGACACTGCTAGAAGCCAGAGCCGCCTCTGATGGGGACAGGACAGAAAGGATGTCCAGAGCTTGGAAGAGGGAGCAGCAACACAACCAAATAACCAAGCTATAGCAGAGGCACCTGGGCATCTCACTAACCCCACTGGGTTACTTTTCAATCTTTAAAATGGAAAAACAAATGCCAGCCATCTGTTAGCAACTCCTCCAGCGAGGCAGAGCAGAGGGGTTCATTAAATCAGGCAATGGCTTAAAAAAAATAAACCCACCTAAACAGCCTAATACTGTACCAGAACAAACACGATAATGATTTCAAAATGCCCAGCCAAAGGTTAATGAGCTGCACGCAAAAATCAAGGGAAGGCAGGGAACCAGGGAGGAGGTGAGGGAGATGGATGCTGGCAAAGGCATGGGTGTAGATCTCAGTGGAGAGCAGATAGCCCAGGAATGCGTCTCTGTGTACCCAGATGAAAGGTCTGAAATGACCCACACGGTCTCCAGCTTTGCCACGTCAGAAATAAACCCGTGAATTGCAGCAGGCACCTTCCAGGATTAGCCAGACAAGGCAGTCCTGCTGCAGAGCCAGCCCAAGTGCTCACACATGTGCCCAGTCTGTAGGTTTCTCTGTAAGTTCTGGCACATGTTTGAAGTTGGGCATGTGTTTATGGATACTTACACCATGGATTTAAATCATTCTCCTCCAAAAGCTCCCTGGCTCACTCAGTACTGCGACTGAGCTGACACCCTTATGCAATAACCAAGTTTGCCTGCTGTGAAGGGGAACTGGAACTGAAACCAAGTCAAGTTTGGGAACATTTAATTAAGCAAAATAGCAGTTTGGAAGGGCAGTTGGGAGACCAGCCTTCACCAGGGGCAGTGTCAAAACAAGTCTCACCCTGTTTCAGTGCATACAGTAACGGGTCAGCCACACTGTGGCTTCCTTTCAGTTGCTGAAGCCCAAACCCACTCCATGCAACAGGGCCTTTAGATTCACCCCCTGTATGAATAATCACAAATAGAGGGCCCTACATAGCAAAAATAATCTATGTAAAGTGCATTTGTAGTATCAAAAAAACATATGAATAAAATTTGCCAGTAGAACAGAAGTGCAAACAAGCCACCACGTTGGAGAGCTGGCAGCAGGAAGACAGGTTTTGAAGAGGAAAGGGTAGGATATGGTTGTCATAGGAAAGCAAGGCAGCAGGAAATACTCTACAAGTTTCCAATTTACGAAAATGTTTCTTTGCTTTGAAGGCTGGGCTTTAAGCTAGCTTAACTAGGCAGTGCTGCCCTGGCTTTGCCTCACACCATCCCTGGGTTTTAGTCAAGCAGGCCAGCTTGATCATAGTTAGCACGTCAGCGATCATAAAATGGTCCAGGTTGGAGACGACCTTTAAGATTATCAAGCCCAGCCATCGACCTGACCTACCCAGTCCCATCACACAGAATCATTTAGGTTTGATGGCTCAAACTAAACTACTCTATACCGAGAAGAATTGTAGGGCACCAAATCCCTCAGAGGAAACATTCAAACCCACAATTTAATGCTGACAAGCCAAGACCTGGGGCACCCAACGTAACTGTCAAAGGGATTGACTGCCCTTTGCCCTTCCTTCTCAGCTGGGGAGCAGGTTAAACGAAGCTGGCTGTGAGATGACATCCCACTTTCTATTTCCCATGTGCCTGCACCTAACAGAATCAGACCCAAGCGCATGCTTAAGATCTCCAGGCACAACTGCAATGTAAATAATGACTTAGCATAACAATTGCAATTACAGACACTGCTGTAGGCTCTAGCCAGCTAATAGGGCAAATGTGAATTTTTCATAAGATAACAATCCTGACAGTCTATAACATGCTTTTTTTTTTTTTTTCCTGAAAATGTATGAACATCTACAACTCATTTTCAATCATCATCACATTCTGAAGGAGTTTTTATTACCTCTAGTCATGACTCACAAGAGTGGGAAACAATATTGTTACTTCTACTCCAAGTATAAACAGTACTGACTTAAAAAGCCTTCAGTTTATGTATTCTGAACTGTCTGATTCTCAATCAATTGGAGGGTATCAGAACATATTTGCTCTGAAGAATAACAGATGTTTTCATCTTAAGTTAAATTTAAACTCAACATCAATCTCCCAGAGAGAAATGAGATAACACAGGATCTCTTTCAGTCTTTAAGATATGCAAAACTATACCTAAAAAAAAAAAAAAATTCCGATCTGAGCAGCAATTATACCTAGCCAGTTGAACTAAATCCTTTCCACAAAGGGACTAGCAGCTATGTATCTTTTTTTTTCCTTCTAAACCATATATTCCCAGACAGATGTAGCACTGATCAGCTCAGATGATAAATGAATTAATAAGCTTTACCTGACTGAGGCAACATCTGCTCACATAAGCTCCTTTCTCCACCTTCCTCCCCCACATTTTGTGTACTCACCCTGCACCCATGCACACACACAAATGTTCGGCACCCCAGGCCTTGTGCCATCTCCTTCTACAGGGACAGGTGCAATTCCTCCTGCTGTTGCACATGAAGATGTCCCGATTCATAAATAGTCCGGTTTCATATTCCCAAAGTACTGCAACCGTGAATTTTTTAGCAAGCAATATATGAGACAAAAGCATCTGAGTCCAGAAACTGTCTTTAAAAGCTTATGTTCTTGGTTCTAGCAGTGTTTTTTTATTGTTGTTGTTGTTTTAATTTCAGTAGTTTTTTTTATTTCAGTAGCATTATCTTTACCACAAGGGAAACTGAGGCACAAACTGCCAAACCCTGTACAAGACTTTCTGCTCCATGGCAAATTTTACATCGCTAGCACAGCAAAACCAGACGTGGCAGTGAAGGGGTGGGGAGAGGTTAAGCGTAGAAGACCAGAAACAAGGTCTGGTAACTGCAGCACCTCGGTTGTTTGAGGAAGAAGCAAAACTTGGTGCAGAAAGTCAGACTTTGCAGACCTGTTTTCACATAATCCCAATGTTGTTTTGGGCTGGAAAGTACCTTAAACATCATCTAGTTCCAACCCCCCAGCCACAGGCAGGAACACCTCCCACCAGACCAGGTTGCCCAAAGCTCCATCCAGCCTGGCCTTGAGCACCTCCAGCTTCTTGGAGGCATCCTCCAGGCATCCACAGCTTCTCTAGGCAACCTGTTCCAGGGCCTCACCACCCTCTGAATATTTTTTTCCCTTTCTTGGCTTATTTCAGCACTGGAGCCCTGTACATAACATTGGTTTCTCAATCTTCTTCCAGTTCACCTCTATTCAACCTGAAAACTCTTCTGGTCAGGGGCAGCATCTCCTTAAGGCTGCTGTGAGCTTACCTGGTGACATGAGAAAATCCCCATGTGCAGGCATCTCCCTCACCATCAGCCAGAAGAAGGGACTTCAGAGCCAATGGTTGCAGGAAGCTGCTGCAAAACAATTAATTCCTGAAGCCACATCTGAATTTCGCTCATGTGAACGTTATTGATCATTTTGTGAGACAAGATCTCAAAACATAACACCGTGTAAGGTGATAGGCATAGTCCTCATGCACAACAGGCTTTGCGAGGACCACATCAATTTTGAAAGCAGGTTATCCAAAGACCCTCTATTGCAGAAATGGTGTGAGCACGAGGACAGTTTGTGACCTATCCTTCCTTTCATTTCACAAATAACTCCAATTTCTTTTTTACACAGTAACTGTCCTGCAGTCTTGTCTTCCTTTTCCAGTCTGAAATCCCTCACAGCCTCTGCTCCCAGCCCCTGGTGCTCAGCTGCTAGGCGTGCTTTCACATACAAACAATTTAGACTGGGGATGGTCTGCACCACTAACGCAAGTGTTCCTATTTTCAGCCTCTCTTCTAGGCTATGCCTAGCTATTGTTAGGAAATTAATGGTCAACACTTGGGGACAAGACTTTTCAGCAAGGTGAACAAATTGTCTTTGCTGCTGTGAGCCACCCATTTGGCTCCAGATTTCTCCCACTATTCCAGTGAGGCTGGGAAATGACCAGTTCCAGTTTGAAGGTGGAGTGAATCAGAAAGATGAAGAAACACGGTTCCTGTTGCAAAATGCTGGCTGCAGTAGGGGATTTATTCTCATCAGTGATAGCCCGGGTTTCCGTGACCACAAGTGCTGTTGTGAAGAGACATGTGAACATCTTGAGGGTGCATCTCCAGAAAAACAGAGGGTGTACTTTTGCAGGAAGGGGCACATAGCATCCTCAGGTTTTGAAAAATTTTGTGCTCCTATAAGGATTTGCAAGGAATTTGGGGACTGACGTTCTCCTGAAAATCTTTTCAGTTCCGCTGAGGGATTGGTTACATAATTCAGATAAATGCCAAGCTCCCTTCTCTGCACTTTCAGGATTAAATATGTACCTTCAGTCATAGCATATTTTCCTATATTTTTCATGCAACCTAACTGTTTCAAGTAAGGAAATCACCTGCTATCAAAGCAAAAAAAAAAAAAAAAAAAATGAAACTTTACAAGCACAGAATTATTTCAAGTTTTCTGTTTGCCAAATATTTTCCTTTTTACGGCTTCAGAATCTCCCTATTTGGGGAGATTTCCCACAGCTCTAGAAGGAACAAACGTGATTTCGCAATTGCACTTAACCACACCAGGCAAGATGAAAACTTTAATCAACAAAACTCTTCTTGCAAGGCATGCTGGAAGTACTGTTTTAGATCATGTATCCGGGAGGAGAATAAATGCGTAACTGGTAGAGCTTTATTGCAGCTGCTGTGCAGTTACAGAGAGCACCACAGCTCCCCTTTGCAAAAACAGAGTGCAAAGATAACCGTGAATAATTCATTCTGGACTGTTTTTCAGCATGAAAACTAGTGTTTGTGCTCCTAATGAACCAACCAGCACCTCCTGGTGTATAAACCATGTGCCAGTCTACCCAGCTTCAGCAGGTTTCTTATGGACGCGTGTGGCTGCTGCTCTCCTGGATAACCACAAGCAGCTCTGAGAGCTCCAGGGCAGGTCCCCTCTCCTCACAGGTCTTCTCCTACCTCCAACTCTTTCCATGCTATGGCAAAGCAAACCCCAAGCAGAGAGATCAAAATAACGTATTAAGAAATAAGCATGACTAACGTTTTCAAGGATTTTAAATATATATGTATCTTTAGCAACCATGAGAAAGTTGCCCTAGCAACATTATTTCCATTCCCTTTTTGCTCACTGTTTCCCTGCCTCTTTCTCTGACTTACAATACACTCAATGAATGAAGGTTTTGAAAGGGAAGAAAATCAGCATTCAGCCAAATAAAGGTCTTTCTTTCCCCTCATATCATCATGATGCAATCTACAATATCCTCGTATCATCATGGTGGAAACTACGATTCCCATCTATGATTAATACCAACAAATTACAAAAGTGAGTTCAGAAACTTTCAAGAACCGGAAAATCCTTAACATTCAGAAAAAAATTTTGGACTGGCTTCTGAAGGACAAATGACACAGCTTACATGGGAGGGGCAACTGCCACTCTTAACCTTTTTTCCAGCAGACACGAGCCCAAAATGGAGCTATTATCCCCATGTAAATGCCAATTTTCATTAAGCATACAGAATGTAATGCAGCAGTTGGAGCTAACTGGAATATAACTTAAGTTGACAGCTCTGAAATCTCTTCCCTTTGGTCAGATCTCATTGAATTTGGCAAATGGACTCAAGAGCTGAGAGCTTGCAAGGCAGACAGGTGAACAGGGGGAAAAAAATGACTGCATGTCCACTTGCTGCTCTGACCAGAAACCACAAAAAAGTAAAACAGTTTCTAGAAAGGCCAACAACTCTCCCACTCCCAAGATTTCTTGAACTTTTTGCATGTCATGAAAAGGTGGTATCAGTTATATAAACACAAAAATATATTTTAAATGTGACAAGAATACGTCCCGAAACACCCATCTCTGCACAGCGCTGTTTTCTCTTACACCTCACGCAGTGCCCAGATTTCCATCTAATTCAAGACAAATACTTCTGACCACAGCACTATATTAGTACATTTACATGGTTATTTTAGTTAAAATTTCCATTTTGGCTTCCAAACAACTCTCTCCAGCATGCTTTCATCACCCATTTGCCCAGGGAGGCAGGAGGACACATCTCAGCATCACAGCCACCAGCTCCCTTACAAAACCTTCACCAAACCTGGGCTTTGCACCATGAAGGCATGCTATTTGCACAAAGCTTACAGCATCTTGGATGCACTACACTAATATGTGTCCTGACAGCTGAAGTGCCTGCCAGATGCATATCTTTCCAAGTCAGGAGATGGACAGCCTTTAACAACTTCAACTCTTTCTCCCTCTCCCCTTGATGTAGCCCACATCTAGGAGTTCAAAAATATTTATTGCTCCCTGTAATTACCTACCAGGAGGCAACTGACAGTGTGTTGACATCGTTTTGCCAGAATTAAAGCCTTTAGGTTTTCTGAGAAAGCATTTAAAACCTTAGTTATTGCTTAGAGATTAGCCAGACTGCCAAATATCCCGGAGTTTTATATATATAAAACTCTATTTTATACAAAGTTTGAGGTGTTGAGTTTCCTTGCCTTGAAATTTTCCAATACCTTCATGTGACCTTGCCTCAGGGAAATAAAAAGAAATAGAAAGTTAATTCAAAACAGCCTCAGTGAGTGCAGATACGTTCATTTCCCTGCTTCCTTTAGCGTTGCCAGACCTGGCAAAGTTCTCCATAAGAGCAAATAGAGTCATCACAGCATCTCATTTGTAATGTATAGCTCCAGACCTACCGTAGTTATCAGGAGCAGATCATCTGACTGTTTCTGTCAAAAGGCAGAAAAAGCTTGTTCTTTTCTTGTGATGGATTAGACTACTGCAGCATCAGGTCGCAGCCCTGAAAGGGGGGAGAAGCTGCTGGAGGTCTCTAGACTGACTCACACCTGATGCAGTATTTGGGTCTCATTGACTGCTGACCCCGTAATGTAAAATTCCCCTTAGATGTAAGCTGAGCACACCCCATACCCTCAGGATACAACACTGACAACACCAGGGCCAACAGAAGAGCAACTTGTCTTGGAGAGAGGCAGGATTTTACATATCACGTGGCATTTGTTTTGCAGGGCAATTCCTCTATTGTAATTTAACAAGGCTATGACAAGGTTTTGGTCAGCCCAATTAAAAGAAAAAAGAGGAGAAATAGCCAGAGGGATGCGGGTCTAGGTGGAAAAGAGCAGAACCAGAACATAATGAGCAGGTGAAAAAAAATGCAGAAAATGAGCCATTAAGAAAAAAAGTGATGCTGGACAAGAAAAATATATAGAAAATACCAACACTGCTGTGCCTCACCCTCTACTAGCCCCCGAGGAACACTAGCTTGGACAGCTTCTAAGAGAGGACTTGCAACTACATATCAGCCCCATTCTCCAGGCAATGCAGATGTGGGAGGGTATTCCTGGGAGAGCACTGCTGATCAGCAGCCCTCCCAGTCCTCATTTTTTCTAGAGGGGCACAGAAAGGCACTTCCTTGCCCAGGTGCTGTTGAGCTGGTGGGTTGCAAGAAGACTAGTGAGCACACTCCCTTCCTCACCACCCTTGATGCTCAGAGTAACTGGCCCTTTTGCAGCTCTTTGTTGGGAGAGTTTTGTTCTCCCGTTCCACTCCTAGAGCAGCCTTCCTTGCGTCTTCAAATTATGACTCAAATCCTCCAGAATAGATGAAACACATCCCTTGACCGAGAGCAGTGTTTTTGCTTTCCATGAACATTCCTCATTACCCAAAATCTGGCAGGGAGTTTGCAGAGTGTCTTTGGTCTCCTTGGCTTGAGTCCACAGGTTTTATTTGCAAAATATCTGTGGATACTTCTGGTTAGCTTTGCAAAGCTTGAGTGGATGCAAATGAGTCAGAAGCTATTCAGCCTGCTGAGGAACCCTGTGGATCAAAAATGAAACAGGCAGAGTGGGACATCAGAAGCGCCTAGGCCAGGTACAATTAAACATTAAGTGATTTGCATTGAAGAACTGAGATTTCAGTTAAATGTTATTTTGCAATGCCAGATTCTAGTGAAACATAGGAAGCATTCATCCCAAGTCTAACATCTAAAAGCTGAATGGACAGCCAAAAATCAATGATAAAACACTGATGTTTGGTTTGGTCAGATTGTACTGTGTACATGTTAAACTGTGACCTTCTGATTCCCAAGAGAAAGGTAACTTGGATGGCTTACGCCCCCCTCCAGGATATAATAAATTGTTGTTTTATATATCCTCAGCAGGTTTTCCTGCTTGAGCAGGGCAGCCAGTTCCAGTTGCAGCCACTCAACGAACCTTTGTGAGAAAGCAGTATTCCATGAGATGAGGCTTTTCAAATATTCAAAAGTACTCATGAGATCTACCACACAGCTCTCATCTTTGTCTGAAGCCCATTTTTGGTGTCTCTGTAGGTGCAGACACCTTTTCTAGTCACATGCCACATGTCCATAATACGAGGCTCATCTTTCCTCATCAGCAAATCAACTTTATCACCTGTTTTGGTGAGATCCTTTCTGTTTGCACTTTTACTTCAAGATCTTTGGTTGATCTTTGCAATATCAACAGGCTCAGAGTTTTAAAAGGTGCCAGCTGATGTCCAGGCACCTACCTGCAGGACTGCCAGACCTGTGTGTTCACAAGCAAACTAGAACATGAGAAGAGCTTAGTGTCCATCACATTGTCATGGATGTTTCCAGAATTCACCGAGGTGCTGGAGTCTTTCCCATAGACATTTCTTATTCTACACCTTCAGGACTCATTCACTCAACTCCTCTAGGAATCAAACAACAACAGTGCCCAAAACCACTGAAAATGCCTTGGTGAGAAGCACTCACTCCATTCCTCCACTGTTTGAAGGAGCAAACCATTAAAGAGAGGCTGTGGAAACATGAGAGGGCTGCTCCCTCAAGGAACCAGAAGCCATAGTCATCTGAAGACTGCCCTTTAGAAACTGGAAGTTGTCATTGTCTCTCTCAATCAACTGAGGATTGCTTCCCCTGCAGTGTGAACGCCCATTTCAATTAATTTCCCAGCTTGTGCAGCAGATGAAAACCCTAAATCAAGGCAAATGGCTCTTATCCATTCATACCGGACATCTTTGCAACTTGATGAACCACAGCAAGAACTGGAGTGACTGCAGAATATATATATAGTATGAAAAATTAGATTTTATGTGACTGGATTTATTATTCAATTTAGGTTGATAATTATTTATTAGACATGCAGCCATTTAGTCACTTGCCCTCAAGGAGCTGGGATAACATAAAACCACTTAAAAGTCACATTTACCTTCAGCTTAATTCCACATGCTCTAACATCAGTGTTGTTCATTCTGCTGTAAGAGCACCTTTCACCGTCCTTAACAGACAAGTGTTTTCTCTCCTGCTAGGGGAGAGAGCAGTCCCAGCACAAGCAGGACAGTTCAGCTTTTTGTTCTTCAAATACTTCCAGCTCGTTCTGTAAAAACAGCAAAAGTAGAGGTCTGAATCAATACAAAATTAAGTTTTATATTGCAATGTTTGAAACAGTCCCAGCTTAAAATTCAGGATCAAACAATAAGCTTTACATCTGTTTTAAGCCAACAGCATTAATGAAATCACTTAGATTTTACCTCCACTAAGCTTTTACTGAGCTGACTTCAAATTACACCTGGAAGCAACATCTATTCTAGATCATCAGCCCCTGCAACTGGACACACGGTGACTGGCTACACAATTTGAGACTTTGAGCTGAATTTCACTGTCAGTTTAGGGACTGACCCTTACGAGCAGCAGTCTGAAATCCAGCAACTGCAGGAAAAGGACAAAACACCCGGAGGAAGCAACACTCACCACCCTATCCATAGCAATGACAAAGCAGCACCTAATTCAGAAAAACAAACAAACAAAAAAAAAAAACATTGCAAAGTTATGTTTGCACAGTCAGTGAAGAGGAGGGTAAGGAGACATCAGATAGCAGCTGACAGCTGCACGAAGGGCAGCTAGGAGCAATGATGAGCAGTGTTCTTGGGAGACGATGCATCGGAGGACATCCAGAGAAATTTCTTCCCCAGAAAGTCCCCTGGGTGACCAAGGAAGCTGAGAGGAAGATCCCCAGTTGTGGTAAAGCTGCAGCTGCCCTGATCCAGTGTTTGCAATATGCGGTTAGATTGCAGATTGCCAGCAGTCCTTCCCACCAACACTTCTGTGAATCGATGTGAGATAGCACCTAGCCTTAGCACCCTGCACACTTGCCAACAGGCAGTTTTTATCACATCCTGGATCGCAGGGTAGATTTCTAGGTGTACGATACAGCCTGAACAACATCCGGTAACCACAGATGGCAAACTGAAGTTATCTTATTCAAAATAACATTATGGAAAAAAACGCAGTTTGAAGAATAGAGGGGGCTGTTGGGAATTGGGAGCAAACATCAAAATTTTTAAACAATGAGATTTTGTCGGTTTCCTATTCCCAATTAATTTTTTTTTTTTTTTTTTTTAGAAAAGACTTTAAAAAAGACAAAGTTCACCCTTAAATATTTTTAAAAGCTTTATAAATGGATTATCTGAGCACAGCAGGCACTGCACTTTTGATAAGTGCAGGATGATATAAGCCTCAGGGAACTTTTGAAGATAGTTCATTCAATAATTCATTCACCTCCCTCTAATACTGCATCGAAGAAATGTTAAACACTGCCTCTGCTTTAATAAGTGAATGAAGGCTCCAAATGCAGATTCCTCACAGGATGAATTCAATTTACCATCTTCCTCAAAGTAATCCTCTGCAAGGCAGTGTCAGGAAAAAGGCTCAGGAGCAAAGTACCATGCATGTACCAATAGATAACTTTATCACCTAGCTCTAGTCCTTTCTGAAATACAGACTCTGAGTTTGAAGTGCAGGTACTACAGGTGGTGACTCTTTCATATTCTGAAGCAGCCTCTAAAGCTCCCTTCTAGGCCAGATAATTGGGTAGAGGTGGTTTTCTGCACAGGGGGACAGCCTTTCACAGAACTTTCGAGATTCTGAGGATTTTTGAGAATTTCTTGAGTGATTCCAGGCAACATTCAAGAGCATGATGTTGGCTGGAGGAACCCAGGGATTTGAGGACAGGGCACTGCATCATCCCCTTATAGTTAAGTTTGCAACCCCTTGAACAAGGCAGCAGAGAGAGGGCAGGCAGAAAAACATCCCAGGTCCCTGCTCTGGGAGACAGCGTACACATGTAAGAGATGCAAAAAAAATGTGCAAATCACCTGAAAACGAAGTTTTCAAATGAAAAAGAAGTCAAGACTGATATGTCATTGGTGAAGTATTTCCAGAATAGCTCCTGAAGCACCAAGAAAAAACTCCACAATACAGGCCTGTTTTGAGCCCTTTGAAATGACAGGAGGAAACAAATAAACCAATCCAGAATATTCAACAAACTGAAAGACCATTTTCCTTCCCTGACGGGCAGCTCTAGTTTTCAAGCCAATTGGGGAAGCAGTCATCTTTATACAGCGTGACTTATAACCTTGAGTTTGTTTAAGATTAAATGCTTTGAAAAAGTTATGGTTTGGTTATTTAATGACACTCGATCAACACTGGAAAGCAATCAGAGAGGCCACACAGAAAGCGGTGGCTGATTTTCAGAAACTGACGAAACAGTAAGCGTGAGGGGCTTTGAGGAAGCAGCGGGAGGATGTCCCGTGATGCTCGGAGGTTGCTGGCTGCTCGTCCTGTGCCTGGTTTTGAGGGCTTAGGCATGGTTCTGCTTTTGTTCCCACTGCACAGGCATCTGAGCCCTTGCCCGCGCTTATTAACAAGGAACTTCTGACATTCAGCACATACCCTGCCTTAAAATGAACTTACACATCTTGGTTTTCAGTCTGATATAAATAGCCTGGAAATATACCCAGCCTTATGCCTCTGTCCTCGATCTCCAGACACTCTCCTTGGCCACGGGTGGACTCTTACCACTTGCTGCATAGTCCTGTGGGCTGCAGATGTCCCAACACTGACTTTAGTGAACACTCACTGCTTTTAATCCTGACAGCACATCCTCTCCTTTGGTCCTGTGTGAGATTTTCAACAGTTTGGTGTATTTGGACACCATAACGTTTCCCCCATTGAGACTGGAAATGCTGAGAAGTAATTTAGGCGAGTAAGGGTGTTGGTGAGCTCCAATACCTGTTGACGTAAGTTTGCTAGAGCTCCTGAAGTCAGTGTCACCAAAAAGGACTTTGGCTCAGCCTTTCCTTCCCGTGGAGCAGCACGCCATGTGGCACACATCTGCTCAGATCTGCTCTCAGGCATTTTTACAGTCCCCCAGCGCAACCTCCAACAGATATTAAGACCTATTAAGATAAATGTGTGGATATTTATGAAGGAAGACTTTTGATGTCCGAGTCAAATTTTATATAAGTGGATGTTTATACATTCATTTCTTTTCCCATGTAGAAATATATTTCCCATGTAGAACCCAGAATTAGTTCTCTCTTGGGACCGATTTTGATTTAGCTTCGACAACCCCATTATCGAATGTAACTCTGCTGACATACAGTTGAATAACATTTGCTATTACGGTTGCAATATATCTTGCTTGTGAGATCTGCAGATCCCTTGGAAGCAGGAGTGCTGCTGTTTTGATTCTGATCAAGGATTCTGCACAGTCTTTCACCACCAGGGCTCCATAATCCCTTTCAGTAGGATTATGAGCATCATATCCAAGCTTATGATTTCCTCAGCCTAGAACTAAGGTGAGCCTGGCTGAGATAGATCCTGACCTTCTTCATTTCTGCCACCTCCAAGGCCATGACAATTAAAAAAAAAAAAAAAAGATTCTAGCTTGAGAACTTATTCGGGAAAATTTGCAGAATCACTGAGTAACACAGGAATCTCTAGTCCAACTTCATGCTCCAAGTAGGGCAGCTTCAGAGCTTGGGCATGGGCAACCTGCTCTGTCAAGTTTTGAAAATACCCGGTGATAAGTATTTCCCTCTCTTCATACTTTTTCCCTTTGTTTTGCCTGAATACAGAAATTTTTAAAGTGGTTCCTCGTTGATACAGTGCAAACCACCAGAACAGGCAGTTGGAGGGCTCTTGCAATCCACAGCCATCCTACTGACTCTGTTAAAAGTGCTGATTCATTTGTCACTAGTCACATACTTCCAAAGACAGCTCTCATTTCTCAATTTCTAAGACTGTTTAAGATCATCAAAATGGATGTTAAGAAAAAAAATATCATATCCAGCTTTCAGCAAAGTAATGGCAATATTCCAATATAATTCAATATGTGTCAGGCGAGTTTCCAACCCCAGAAAGCCAACATGGGCTAAAGAAATTCCTTAATAAATATCTCTATGCTACAGATTTTTTTACAGCATACTAAGGAGAGCTCCAAGAAGTCCTAATGTCAGGCTACAGCACATCACTCTGGTGAGAAATCACCATTTTCTTATTTGCAGTGTCTGTCCAATCTAACACCTGAACTCAGAGGGGTGATCCAAGGACAACAGATTCCAGCACAACTCGTTTTGCTGAATTTGGCATATCAACAATGAAAAGCACCATCATCAAATAAAGCAAATGGTTAGAGCTGTACCAGCAACAGCAAGGAATCTCAGAATTAACACCCCATTCTCCCAAGTCGGTCTCCAGTGCCAAACCCCAAATACACTGTCCTACTGAGACTTTTCTTTTTATCCCACAGGGAGGAGATAAATATTTCTGGCCTGAGTAAAAATAAAGTGGCTTTAGCATGAGACAATACGTTTTTGTCTCTTCAGGTTCAGCATTAGACCCTGTACAGATATCTCTGCCACACTCAAGATGTTCAGTGAAGAGCTGCAATTAGAAAAAAAAGAAAACGTGGACACAATGAGTGATGAACCAGCAACTGTGATGAATGCTCCTGTCCTAGAAACCTGGAAGCATCAGGAAAGACAGCCTGTGTGAAGTGGTTCCCACCCTCAAGATAATTGCTAGCTGGAAGTACCATCACCAGAAGACAGTGGGTACTAATGAGCTCTTTCTTCCAGCAGGTTAAAGGTCCTTCTTCCAAAAGAGAACTAGAAACTGGTGCTTTTTTCTTTGTAATTTTCTTTTTTCCTGGCTGTTATTGTGAGTACAGTCAGAGCACTGGACGAGTCTACAGTGCTTGGCACTTCCAGAACAACCCAGCATGCCTCACTGGAGACAAACCTGTTGGGAGCCCAGCATCTGGTAACAGGGTAAATTTTGGTGGCCCAGGTTGTGACACGTTCGATGTCACACTCAGAACCTGACATTTGAATTTCTTGAGGTTTTATAATAAAAAAAATACTCCTATTTCCCAAGTGTGCCTCCATCTTCTCTACCACCACTGTTTCGTACTAGTTACGATCCTGGAGCACTCCAACTCCAAACATGTCCAGACGCACTGAGAAGACTGAAATCACATGAGATCTTTCCACGATTTGGATAAAGGTATGATAATACGTACTAGCAAGAAAAATC